TGGCCCCTTTCTCTTCAACAATCCCCCCAAAAAGCCCTTCTTCTTGTCCCCTGTACTTGTCGTTCCACTGATAGTACTCGCCGTACTGCCAAACCTCCCCGACCTCGACCCGACTTTCCCTTGCGGCAGCTGCCCCAGCTCTGCAGGACTCGTTCTTCGACCCTTACCTGAGGGAAGAGTTTGCAAAGAATCGCCTGAGCCGGCGCGGGACGTCCTGCCATCCGTATCAATGCTGGACGAAGAGGAGGCAAGGCCTGAAGGAGATTGGGTAGCAGTACCAGAGCCGGCCGGTGACAATGGGCTTCCGTCCGCCGTGCCGGACCGGCGCATTCTTGGGAGGGAGGGGACTGATGAGAAATGATTCAAAACAGAGGAGGATTTCTTCTCCTTATCTCTGACCGTCGCCGCAGAGCCTCGCGCGAGACCTTGCCCTGTCGGCATGGGGTCATCTGACCGCGACGGAGGCCCATCGTCTTGCAGCCAAGGTGCAATGTTCGCCCCAGCTAGCGGCTGCTTGCCCTGCCCTGATTTGGCGTCCGATCGGGCATTCGGGTCGAGTATATCATCCATGCTGCCGTCCAATTGCATGTCCTGTCCGAAGAAGGAGTCTGACCCGCTGCCGCCGGCGAAAGAGCCAATGACGACGCCAGGGTAGAAAGTTGATTCTGACCGTGAGGGATGCGGTAGCATGAAGGGAGGCTCTTCACCGAGCCGCTTTATGAGAGGAGATACACGTCTTTTAGGAGGATTCTCTTCAGGAGATAGAGATTTTCTGGGGGAGCGCGAAGGGCGAGCGTTGCGCGATGTTGGAGAGCTCGTCTTCAACTCGTCTGATAAATGAACGTGCGCATAGTCTGGTTCAGAGGATGCTGCTGAAGACACAGATCCTTTACCTCGCAAGGATATAGCTTCAGGCTCCAGCATTATTGGCGCGTCGTTTGTTGCAGGCGCGTTGGGAGGAGGTACATTGCCTGGCGCCTTCTGCTCGCCATTCTGCGGTGGAACGGAAACAGATTGCTGCCGTGACATGCTGAGCCTGTGGGATGGTGTGGCTTTCAGAAGATTGTGGCTGACTGCTGGGGACGAGCCAGGATACTATTCTGGCGAAGGAACGAGCCCCCGTGGAGCAATACGGGAAGGCTGTCAGAGAGGTGTAGGAGGTCGGTGGGGTCGTGTGGGAGAAGGCCAGCCGCCGGCGTGTAAGGATACCTTGGTGGTTGATGGGATGCCGGGAAGAATATAATTGTGTAAGTTGAGATAGAATTGATTCAGCAGATCGCAGATCAAGTACTATGCAGGTTGACTTGATGACGGACGGCGGACGACGGACGGACGAACTTGAGTTTTCAGGTCTTTAATCATCTGCCTGAAATATTTTTGGGCCCAAAGTCTTGATTGGGCGGAAAATCTACGTGGACAACTGGCAGCTTCAATGCATACGTCAAGGGCATCAATCCGACCTTAAGGCGACATAAGCAGCCCTATCAAGCGGCAGTAGCCCATGGTATGGGCAGTCTCTGCGCACAAGCTGTTACAACTTACACCCAGCAAAATCGCTGTTGCTGTTTGCGGAGTTGTTGCCAAATCTGCCTTGAGAATGGGCCACTTATGAGAGTTTCCCCTTAAGAGGTGTGTCACCAGCTCCTGTATTCAGCAAACACCGCACCTCATCTCCATCTTGTTCTTCTATCACATCTCTATATTCTTCTATTCGACTTGCCCCCTCCTCCTCCCACCCCCTCTCTCTCCCCCGCGTGTCCTCTACATACTGCCGCTGTCTCCGCCTCCGCTCTATAAATCCGCCTACCAACGCCAACATCCCTTCCTTCCGTCGTCCCTTGTCATCTTTGAACCACCCTCGGTATCCATCCAATGTCCATCTACGATACCGAATTCTCACGTCGGATCCGGTCTTCTATCCACGATGCCCCGCCAACGCCTATATCGAAATCCTCCCGGTACGATCTGAGATCGTCTTCCCATCCAGCGGCAAGCGGGAGTAACAGTAATCTGTTTCATGATGGTTTGGGAAACGTCGATGTCTTTGGGAGCGTAGGAATGTCTGCCAGTAAGAGTGCCAGTCCGAAACTGAAAGGGAAGGGAGTCCAGCGGGACTACGGTGATAGGTGAGTTGTTTTTCTGAGATTCGACAAAGACCGAGAAAGCAGTGGCGCAGGTGTGTATGCCGCATGGGCGAGTACTCTAAGCAGAGTATGGGTGACTGAAAGATCAACCCGCCATATTCTTCGCAGCAGGGAGAAGATTGAATACCCCGTTTTGGCCCGACAACAGTCCATACCGCCCCTTTGGACCGGCGGCGGCCTGAGTGTATCGGGTTGGTTGCTATGGAGGCACATCATCGCCTTTGAAGTTGATGTGGGTGGGAATACTTGGATCCATGCGTCCCCTGAACGTCGAGTGGGACATTAGTCCCCTCTGTCTCGGGAAGAGAGACGGGGGTCAGCCTTCTGGCAGACCATATACTTCACTGCTGGCACGAACAGGATTTGCCTCATGGCAGGGGTCGCTGAGAAGGGCTGTGCGCAAATTGAAGGAAGATTGGCTGACGATGAGCAGATTCATCCCCACGCGAGACGGCACCGACATGCATGCAGCTTTTCAGCTGACCGACAGTGCTCGAAGCTCTGCCAAGATCAAGACTCGCAGAAAGAGCGGACAGCAGCAGACTGATGGTGATGTCCGTCGAGGCGAGTTGCTCCTTCTCCATCAAAACCAGTGCTGACCCTTGTACAGAAGAAGTCCAGGCGACCTTCACGCAGCTGCTCAAGACCGAACTCTTCCCCTCCCCCTCATCCTCCCGTCAAACCCCTTCCACCCTCCACAAATCCCGGCATCACAAAATGCGCCAACCCATGTCATTTGACACTTCCAACATCCCTCCTGCCCCTTCTTATCCGATTTCCAGCGCTGGTAGCACCCCGAATCACCACCGTCCGCCGCCGATGGCTATCCCGTCTGGGGCGCCAATGGAACGGCAAATGTCGCCGGCTTCGACATTGCCTCCATTACCGATGCATGCGCCATCGACGCCTACTTCGGGGCACGGCAGACCACCAGGCGCAGGGCCAAGCTCTTCACATCATCGAGCGCACCAGTCTCAGGTCGCATTGACTTCTTCGGCACATCGCGCCACTTCTCCCTCGCATTCCAACCCCCGTCGCTCGGCATTCTCACCTCCTCCAAATTCTGCTACCAATGGAGTTTACTCCCCATCTACTCCTACGAAAAAGAGAATCTTGAATTTTGGTTCTCCAAGTCGGAGTGGGGGGGTCAATGGGATTTCTGCAAGCGAGAGTTTGGACGACATGAATCACCCGGCCTACAGTCTGAGTCCAGTGGGAAAAGAGTCACAGAGCATGTTATTGAGCCCGAGAAAAGGCATACGGCCAATATCCAAAACGCCTTTCAAGGTGCTTGATGCCCCAGACTTGGCTGTGAGTAGTGGTCTGACCCTTGCAAACTTGACTAACCCACAGCAGGACGACTTTTACCTTAATCTCGTCTCTTGGTCGGCATCAAATGTGTTGGGTGTCGGGCTCAACAATTGTGTCTACCTGTGGAGTGCCCAAACAAGCAAAGTAACCAAGCTTTGCGACCTAGGCCCCACCGACGCAGGCGAAAGTGGTGATATAATAACTGGATTGGAATGGACCAACAAGGTGCGTCGACGTCTCCTTGCATATCAAACTTTACTGACTCTTGCTGCAGGGAAGCACCTTGGCCATCGGCACCAACAGCGGCTTGGTTGAGATCTGGGACGCCGAGTACAACAAGCGTATCCGCGTCATGTCTGGCCACTCTGGTCGCGTTGGTGCTCTTGCGTGGAACTCGCACATCCTCTCCTCCGGCTCCCGTGACCGCACCATCCTCCACCGCGATACCCGTATAGCAGACCACTATATCCGTCGCTTGTCTGGTCACCACAAGCAGGAAGTATGTGGGCTGCGGTGGAACACGGATACGGACCAACTGGCGAGCGGTGGAAATGACAACAAACTATTCGTGTGGGGCGGAGTGGATGCCAGGCCAACGTGGAGATTTGGAGAGCATAGGGCGGCGGTGAAGGCCATCGCTTGGAGCCCGCACCAAAGAGGGTTATTGGCGAGTGGGGGTGGAACGGCGGACAAAAAGATCCGGTTTTGGAATAGTTTGACAGGTGGATTGATCAGTGAAATCGACACCGGCAGCCAAGTGAGTATTCACAGTGCCTGCCATGATCCTCTCTGACATGACTAGGTCTGTAACCTGATGTGGTCCAAAAACTCCAACGAACTTGTCTCTACCCACGGTTACTCTGGCGGTCCCATCTCCAATCAAATCCAAATATGGAAGTATCCATCCATGACCCAGATAGCAACTCTCACCGGCCACAATTTCCGAGTGCTCTACCTCGCCATGAGCCCCGACGGACAGACGATAGTGACGGGAGCGGGTGACGAGACTCTGCGGTTCTGGAATGCATTCCAAAAGGCCAAGGGGGAGGTTGGGAAGTCTGCTGTTGTAGGCGGTGGGAGTGGGAGTGGGATGGGTATTGTGAGGATGGGAGGGTTTGAAAGGTTGAGATAATGTAACTTGTCTCGCAGGCGATGTTTTTGTGTCGATTTTGTTTTTTCCACATGATATATATACTTTAGAGGTCACTGCACCACGGACGACGATATCTGGGTTTTAGTATGAACTACGTGTCCGTCTATACGCATATGTAATCAGCAGATGCATGTTCCTTCATAATAATATGGGGCGAGTTTCTATCAAGTACTAAAGACCAGGACTGAAAATGATCGGGCCCAAAAAGCAAGCAGTAGTGGCAGTGTCATGTCATGCCATTGTGCTGAGGTGTAGAGTTTGGCGTGATGCAATGACCAATCCATACATGGAAGTGTCTTAAGATACCTTCTGCGAAATGATGGATGTCTCGCGTTCATCTCAATGTTGTCGTACAATACACACCCTGTGTTTGTACTTGGTAATTATCAAGTGGAGTAGTGCGACAGTGGTTACTCGGTTCGACTCGAATGTGTTATGTTCTTATCGAATGCCGTAAGGCGCGCAGGTTCAAATCCTGCCTGCTCCTATTTTTGTTCCTTTTTGTATTTCTTTTTTCAACGTGCAAAGATCGCCACAATCTTTTCAATGATGCATTGCCATTGGGCGACAGCTCCAGAGTCGAGAGCCACCTTTGTGTTGACTAACTTTACAAGCTGGTTGCTTATGGCTTTGCATGTGCGCTGGCGCATCGCGTGCTTCATGCTCACAAGAAATAAGTTTCTGTTGGGACGTTGCTGCCCATGCCAGGCGCGACATATTCCAAATCCAAAATCCAAGTGGAACGTCTGAGACTGAAGGGTGAAGATGCGTCCGATAAAAAGGGATGAGGGGCTCTGATGGGACTGTTGTAGATACTTGTCACATACTTGGATATACGAAGAGAAGGAAGGAAAGGCCGAGAAAGAAAAAGTAGACAAGTCCTCGTCAGCGATACGGACACCCGGGACGACAAGTTTTCGGGGTAGTCAATTTCTTATTTTCTTGTTGGTTTGGTCCAGCGGAACCAAACAAATCGCAGCTTGTTGGCTTCACCTGGGCTTTAAACTTGTATAACTGTACTCGTACATACACGATGCTTACAGGACGATGGCTCAACATTTCAGTTTATAGATGGTGGAGAAAGAGCATTGAACAGGAACGTTGACAGTATCATGAGCCGTCATGTCCGCAATCCCGCCATAGATCTGCCACGTGAGTTGCGGATCCGAAAAGACTTGTAACCTCCACTCTTGCAACCAGCTTGCAAGCGGATCCGGGTCCGCCATTGTCCCCTAACCCGGCCGTCGGTCGTGGAAGCTTTATCAGCTTCTGATCTGAGCGGTCCCGACATGGCACCCGGTACCATCTGCTGACGACATGGAGAGAAGTAACTTGAAAGAGATGCCAGCCAGAGTATAAAAGGCAGCCCCTCGTCATGCATTGGGGCCACCACCCTCTTCATCAATCCCACCACAACCACAATGTCCACCACCAAGAAAACCGTTCTCATTACTGGTGCCTTCCGAGGGTGCGTATATGTTCAGTCCTTTCTCTCAACTTGCCGAGCGGTTGCAGATGGAGTGAGATAGATCAAAACGTACTGACTACTAGACTATGTAGCATCGGCAATACACTCGCCAAGCTCTATCTCGAGCAAGGTTGGCGAGTCATCGCTGCTGCTCGCGACCCTAGCAAGCCGTCCAAGCCGTTCAAGCTGGAAGGTGATGTACTTGTCGTCAAGATTGACTCTGCTTCGCTTACCGACGCCTTCGACGTAAGTATCTTCCAGACTGCCTTCTGCCAAAAGTCGTGCTCAGCTAATGGCCCCCTCAGGCCGTCGAAGAGCTCAAGACCAAACACAACATCACCCACCTGGACACCGTCATCGCCAACGCCGCCATGTCCCCCGTCCCTTCTCTCCTGGCCAGCGCATCTCTTTCCGAGTTTGGCCTCGCTCTCACTACCAACGTTCAAGGTCCTCTTGCCCTCTTTCAAGCCACACGACCCTTGCTGGACGATGAAGGCACATTCACGTTCCTCGGTTCTCCCCTGGGCTGTATCTCTCGCGATTGGATGGCTTATGCTGGTACCTATGGAACGACCAAGAATGCCATCAACTTCCTCGTGAGTCGAGATTCCTTGTGTCAAGATACCACTGCCTGATAGGGAGCTTAGGCCAAGGGATTAAATGCCGAAGAGCCAAAGCTCAAGGTCTTTGCCATCAGCCCGGGATGGGTCGACAGGTACATTTCCTCTCCATGGAATCCCATTCAATGCTAATACGGAGTGTACGTTAGCGATATGGGTCAAGAAGGTGCTACCTTGGCTGGACTCGAAGCGCCCCCTGACAAGATCGCTGTGACCGGCCGTAAGTCCTGCCCTTCCCTTTTTTTCCCATTTGAGATCTTATCGCTTACGGTCGCTGGGCAGCCAACATGGTCAAGATCATCAACGAGGCCACCAAAGAAAAGACTGGTGGTCTCTTGTGGGAGCAGTAAGTTTGATCCCGCCGGGAATGGGATGGTATAGATGGCTGATGGGTGTATACAGCGATGGTACTCAGATCCCTTTCTGATCGCGACTTCTTTTACGGAAGGTAGGTTGAAAAGGTTTGCTTGTATGCATAGCTATCGTTTTCCATGGGTATTCCTGGGTTAGTTGGTATAAGGGCGTGGTATCTTTGAGTGGCAAGATCAGCGGACAGTGGAGAGAATGACCCGACTCTCTGCCGCGTTCACAATCCGGACCCCTGTACGCCAATCAAACATACTTGCGGTAGATGCAATGCATGACAGACATGGTACAGATGCGATGCGAATTGAATGTCTTCTATCCCTCAGCGCGAGGTCCGTCCACCTCGGGTATAGCCTTGACAACTCCCTTATGCAAAACCTTTCTCACATCATCAAACACCTTTCCCCGATTATCCCTACAAATACAAAATCCCATCAGCACCTCCCTCCTCCCCCAACACCAAGATAACAACTCACTTTAAAACACTATCCATATACACACTCAGCACATCCCCCGCAATTCTGTCCATCTTTTCCAATCCCGGCAGCTGATCGGCTCGTGACGGGCCCGTGGATATCATGAGCACTGGTTTCCCCTGGTCGTGGGCCTGCTTTACGAGGCGGAAGGCAGAGTAGGTGGCGAGAGATGTACCGAAGATGAGGAGGGAAGAAGCGTCGGCGATGAGGTCGAAGGATTTGTCGCGGACTTCTGGTCTTATCGTTTCTCCCTGCATGGAGTCAGTAAAGACGTTCGACGGGTCCAGCTTGTGGCTCACAAAGAACACCACATTAGGTTTGACCTGCCGTGGAGAATGTTAGCAACGTCGGCTGTGAATGGATTGCACGTACAATAGACTTGTCTTCTCCTTCTGCCTTGCAGGACGGGCACGGAGGGACATTGAATGTACTGAAGTTGGCTCCTCTGAGATCGACATCACCATCGGGGTTCGTGCGGGGTTGGCTATTGAGCAGGGCGTGAGCATCCATTCAGCTGCCACGTAATGGCCTATACTGCTCACGTTCCAGTCCTCTCCGCCTCTTTGGCCGCCTCGTCCCATATAGGATTCATCTGTGCGATACGCTCTTGATACACATCTCGAGTGATTTCATGTCGGTGTTTGAGACAGTGAACTTTTGCAAGCGTCCCGTGAAGATCGAGTATCGGATAGTTGGATACAGAAGGATTCAGAAGACCGTACGCCTTGGGATGAAGGTTATCCACCTGCCAGAGCTTTGTCAACTTCGTGTGACTACTAGGACGGGTACCCGACGTACGTTCTGAGTGATCAGGTTTGGAGCAAGGCCGAGATGCTGTAGGGCTGCTATATATATATGCGTAGGGTTCGGCATGGCATCTCTCACGGGAGGGTACTACAATCGGGTCAGCATACACCTTATGAGTGGAATGGAACAGCTTACACCGAGGAACGATCGCGCCCAATCTGATTGCGAACGAAGGTCAGCGGCGTGTATGGACGATGATGGGCGCCAGAAACTCACATCTCTGCCTGCGTGGATGTCAGTAGATACTCCTGGCAAGCCTATCGTAACCCACCTGAACATGTGTCCTCTGTCGCTGTCCTCTACCAGCTCATGGTACAGAATCGGCCTGCCGAGCGGTAAAAATCTATCAGCTCCTCCCTTTCAAGATCGACGAAGCGAAGAAGTCTCACTTGTAGTTTGGATTACTGTAGCTCCCTTCTGCCCCTCTGTAGGCTCTGATACCACTGTCCACACTGACGCCAGCACCCGTGAGCAAGACGGTCTTGCCTTTGCCTTTATCGAGGAAACGGGCAAGGTGGGAGGCTGCAAGGGCGGGAGGGAGGAGGGTCAGGGCGTTTGGGGGAACAAGAGGGGCTGGGGGGAGGGTGGGGATGGAGATCCGCACCATTTTGAGAGTTGATGGATGAAGATGATATGAAGACGATTCCAAATATGTGGACATCGACAGCATCGATCGTGGGACGTAGCCGGCCGCCGGAAAGTTGAGGGCGGGAAGCCCCACATCATCATAACGACGTGAAAGTGCATGAGTGACCTTCCGAGTACCCACTTGTTGAAGAGCGGGAGCTGAGAGAGTGAAAGAGCATGACGGGGGCAGCTAACAGCTTCATCCAAGTAGTACTGAGGACTGAGCGTCAACAACCTTCACGCTGTTGATCTGTCGTCCAACTTCGCTGCCCTGCCCGATTATCTCTCCTTCGGAATGACTCTCCATCCAGTTCAAAATGCCCCCCTCTGTAATCCGGTGGTTGACAATTCCGTTCCATGAAGGAATATACTTGCAAAGTGCCAAGTTGGAACTGTTCTCCCAAACAGTAGTGCGTGAGGCGGCAATTGCCGACGCGTACTTATGACGCTCGAACGCGTCGCAAGGACAATGCCATTCTTGCAACTTTTTCCTGCTCGTTATATCGCAGCATGCCCGCCTCCCCCGCCCCCTCGTCCCCGCTTTTCGGACTGGATCACCCCTCGCCCGCCTCACGTGCAGCAACAGACGATGACGATATGCTCGACACGGTCGATCTCGATGCCGACCCCGCCCCGGAGGATGACCCTTGGCGCACAGTACCTCTTACCGCTGCTGCCGCTCCCTCGGTTGATGGGGTATCTTCAAGAGATAGTCGAGCAACGTTCATGACAGACACGACTCAAAGATTGTCGAGAGCTGTCTCGACGCCTGCTACAGAATTCACGCCGACCATAGAGGAGGAGAGAGAGGGCGTTGATGCGACTGCAAGCGAGGAGGGAGAGACTCCTATGGTACTGGGCGTTGCTGTGGTAGACTTCAACCATCTCGTAAGTCAGTGTGCGCCCCATCACGCGCATTTGATTTACCTTCGAACGACAGATTGGGCCCACAGTGGAGTTTGCGTACCCTCCTACACTTCAAGATGCTCTGGCAAATGACGAGGACCTGTCAAGGCTTTTACCATTTTTGGCCCTCCCAGATGGAGCACATTTGGTAAATCACCCAATTGATCTTCCATCATGACAGGGCTGACATATAGATCCTAGAGTGAAGAAGACTACT